ATGATGTTGAGCACATTTTCATATACATGGTGCTCATTTTTATGTCTTATTTGGAGAAATGTGCATTCAAGTCCTTTACCTATTTTACTTTATTTTATTTATTTTTTTGTAGTGGTAGATGGACAGAATGCCTTTATTTTATTTATTTTTATGTGGTGCTAAGGATTGAACCCAGTGCCTCACATATGCTAAGCACTGAGCTACAGCCCTAGCCCCTTTACCTATTTTTTTTTATGGACAGAATGCTATAGCCCCAGCCCTCCTTTACTTATTTTTAATAGGGTTATTTGTCTTTCTGCTATTGAGTTGTATGGACTATTTATAAATTTTGGATATTAACTCCTTATAAGATATATGGGTTGCAAATATTTTTTTCTAGTCCATAAAATGCCATCTTGTTTTGCAGTTTCCTTTCCTGCCCAGAAGTTTTTCACTTTGATGTATTCCCATTTATTTATTTTTACTTTTGTAGACTAAGCTTTTGGTGTGATGTCCTAGAAATTATCATCAAGGTCAAGTCACAGTGCTTTCCCCTTATGTTTTCTTCTGGGAGTTTTTATAGTTTCTGGTCTTACATTTAGGTCTTTTATACATTTTCAGTTGATTTTTGTTTATGGTATAAAACGAGAGTCCAATTTCATTCTTTTTATGTGGAAATCCAGCTTTCTCCTCACCACATTTTCCATACTGTGTCTTATTGTTGGCCTTATTGAAATTAGCTAACTATATATTTATTTATTTATTTCTGAGTCCTTTATTTTCTCCCACTAGTCTAAGTGTCTATTTTAATGCCAATACCTGTTCTGATTAGTTTAGCTTTGTAATATGATTTTTAATGAAGAAATGTGTTGCTTCTATTCGTTCTCAGGATTCTTTGGCTCTTCGGAGCTTTCTATGGCTCCATACAATTTTTATAATTGTTTTCTCAGGTTTATGAAAAATGAAATAGGGTTTTTGATAGGGATTGCATCAAATTTGTATATTGTATTGTGTACTATGGACACTTTAACAATATTGGTTCTTCCTATCCATGAGCACAGGACATATTTCTATTTATTGGGTCATCATCAGTTTCTTAGGAAGGCAATTAGCCAAGTTATGGAAGTAGCCCAGAAGCTCATCAACAAATGAATGGATTAAAAAAATGTGACACACACACACACACAAATAGAGTTTTACTCAGCCATAAAGAAAAATGAAATTATTGCATTTGCTGGTAAATGGATGAAACTGGAGGACATCATGGTAAGAAAAATAAGCCAGACACAGAAAATCAAGAGTCAAATGTTTGCACTCCATTTTACATATATTCTTTCAAACTCTGCTTCATTCCCACTTAACACTTAGCATGGATATATTTCTATGTCATTTGGTGAATTTGTTATCTTAATATTTACCTTAATATTTAATGGCTCCATGGTATTATGTTGTTTAAATTCATCATAATTATTAAGGATTTAAAAAGTTGTTATATATGTTTTGTTCTAGGGTGAATTACATTTTCACAGATCAATTATATGCTTTCTAGGGTGGTTCAAAGGGCCAATCCTTTCTGTTTATAAAGAACACACAGTGTGGGATTATTCTTCATTTATAATCTTACAACTCAACCTCATTTTATTCATATTGTCTATGCTAAATAGGAATGTTTATTCTCATCCAAACTTTGGATGTGACAGTGTATTTAATAAACTATTGGGCTTTGTGCTCCAGGGGAAAAATGCTAAATGAAGCACATCATTGATCTTAACTGCTTGCCCTTCTCCAGTTCTCCAAGTCCATGAAAAAGAGCACTGAATCCAGGAAAGTACAACTTGATAAACTTGAAGATGATTCAGAAAAGATAATACATAAACAGTGTATAGCTTAATTTTGTGGCGGCAGCAAACAGATTGTGTAGCTTCCATGAATGTTTTGAAACCTGGTGGAGAAAACATTACCAAAAGTCAGGAATGGAGCTTCTAGTTTCAAGTCAGATGCTAACTTACAGGTTCTACAATAAATTACTTCCCTTTTCTGGATTGCAATTTCAGCATCTGATAATGGAGTGGTGGTAATAGATGGTCGCATGAGCTTCCTGTATCGAAAGCCTATATTCAGAAGAATCTTTGAAGAGCACAATTTATGTGTGCTTCACAAGGAAAAATGTAGGCAATATTTATGAGCCTAATAAGTGGGTAGACCTAAAGTGTGAGGTTTTAGGCATCATTTTCTTTGTTCATAAATTTATTTCCTATATCTGCTATGTAGCAAGTGTTTAATAATTCTTGTTGTTTAAAATATTTTGGTGGGTCAGAATCACCCTCAGCAAATTTCAAGAGTGCAATACAATATTATTAACTACATTTTGGATTCTATACCTTAGATATCAAAAAGTTTTCATAATACATAACCGAATCTTTATACTCAGACCTACATTTCTATATTTCCCTGACTCCTCACCCCTGGTAATCATCATTCTTCTCTTTGCTAAGAGAAACATAAATTGAAAAGTTGCAAAATATTAGAGGATGACTCAGTCTTCTAATAAAAGTGACAAAATTCCTGTTACTTGAGTCATACCAATTTGGACACTAGAGAATTGTGACAGGTCTCTAAATTCTACTTCTCTGTTACTTAGCTCTATAGCTAGTTAGTGCCCTTGGCACTCATGTTTTATTTTTGGGGCTACCTTTGTGCATAGAACTATAGGGGAATGGGGCAGATCCTATTTGGAATTTAGAGGGACAGCTGATAAAATATATATTACATTTGTCTTTAAGGAGAAACTGGTGAAATTAAGAATACTTACGGGGGACAAGGTTCATGACTGATTAAAAATTATATTTGAAGAATTGATTTTAATGGATCTACATTCAAAGAAACAGACCTTTAATGTGTTGTGTTAGGGAAATCTGACCTGGGCCATATCCTAATTCAACAATTTCATTGCTGACTTAAACAAGGACATAGATAATATGGTGATCAAATATACAGATATGCAAAGCTGGGAGAGAGTTAATATTATTTCATGACACAAATATGATACAGAAAGGCATCTCATGTTTTATATGGACCTTTACTGTGCTTGTATAATTTACCATGATAGGAGAAGGACATGCCTGAGAGTAGGAGTCAGAGATTCTTTATCCATTATCATTATTATTCATTAGTATTTTGCCTGAAGGATAGTTAGATCAGATAATCTCTTGTTAATAAAGTCACTCTGTGTGTGTGTGTGTGTGAGAGAGAGAGAGAGAGAGAAAGAGAGAGAGAAAGAAAGAGACAGAGAGAGAGACAAGCTTGTTTTTTTTTTTAAAGATTTTTTACTTAGTTGTTGGTAGACCTTTGCTTTATTTATTTATATGCAGTAAGAAAATGAAACCCATTGCTTCACACATGCCAGGCAAGTGCACTACCGCTGAGCCACAACCCCATCCAGAGAAGGTTGTTTTAATCTGGGTTATTTTACTGGGTAGGAATTAATCTAAGTTGGAGAGTTTTGCAGTTAGAATTAACACAAATCATTAGAAATTTCCTTGGATTTCTTGGAGTGAATTGCCTATCATAATGACTTGGAAGAAATATTGCAATGTTAGATAATGGCATTTTCTCTTTGACAACAACCAAAACATTCTGGCCATCAGAATTTCTATTCTTTTAATTCCTCAAGGCAAGAATTGAACTTAGTATGAGGATCCCTTTTAGAATCTTTCATTTTGGGAGAATTTAGGAGATTTGTGGAAACTTGTAATGCTTACACTAGATCACATTGTGACATTGAGAAAGGAAAAGTCACAACCTGGAGCTATTTGTAAGCAGAATGCAGGAGTTAATTTTAGAGTATTTATTTCCTTTCCAAATTTGTTCTCTTTCCATAGAAATTGGAGCCCTTCACTGTTATCTGCCACCAGCTGCCCTGTTTCACTAATCAGGGAAGTAGGCTAAGAATACCCCTTAGTTCTAAGTGAGGGGAAAAAAGAGCAGGTGCCAGAATTCAGGTATTGAAATATGCCAGGGTCTGTTCACCAATCATTCTCCAATGGCAGATCCTTAAGGACAAATACATCAACTGTGAGCCAACAGCTGCCAACAGTCCCATTAAGAGCAGTTAGCATATACTCCTGGCTAAGTATGAGATTGCTGTGCCACAGGTTATTATATTGTTAGGACAAGTCTTCACAGCTCACCAAACATTTTACCTCAGCAAAAATTAGACTGTCTGAGAAACGTTGATGAGCTATAAAATAAGTAGTAGTTAGTGACTTTGAAGAAAATAGCTACTAAAAATGTTCTTAGCAGGGAAGTATTTCTGGAAGGACCATGGCTATGGGTTCCCAAAACTATGATAACACTGTTTCAAATTTTTGGAATCTCCCCTGCTTGCCAATCCAGGCCTGGCACTTTCCCCTTAACCCCTTGCAGTCTCATACTTAATCCTTTCTTTGACTAACTGGAAATCCTTTCTTTGACTAACTGTAACCAAGAGTCTATAGATGTGGGTGCTAGTTCAGGCTTTGCCATTGATCCTCAGTTTTCCCATTTAAAAAATATGCACATGGCTTACAGTGTACAGGTATGTTGGTGGTTTTTTGAGAAAACTGAATGTGAAGGTTAATAGGCAACACAGATATAAGGTGGAGATGTTATTACTCAAACTCTATTGTGAAGGCTGGAAATATTTGGAAACTGCTTTTACTTGAATTCTCAGTCTGAAAAATGTTTGCCTCTGGATTAAAAGATTAAGCTTTGCCTTAGGGAAAAATCTACTCTAGTTTAATGTCTATCTGTTGTTGCCTGTTTGTATTCCTTCCCTCTTCCTTTCTTTCCTCTGTCCCACCCTGCTTTTATATCTTTCTCTCATTCTCTGTAAGTCAGTCAGTCAGTCAGTCAGTCAGTCAATTTCTCTCACACAGTAAAAAGAAAAGAAAACCTTTACCTCTTGGCATAGACTCTTATGGAAAACAGAGAACTTTTGACTTTCATGAATTTTGAATTTCTCTTTTTTAAGACTCTTACTCTACCTTGAAGTTTGATTTTAATTTATTTCAATTACATGTATTTGTTTATTTGCTTATAGCCTGCCTTCTTTCACACATGATTTGAGGCAGCCAAGCTTTAGCTTGTTCAAGACTTTAGGTGGTGTTCAAACCAATGAAGACTGCATTCCTTAAATCTTCAAAGGGAAAATAAGAAGTTGCCGAGTTATGTTGCAAAAACAGAAGTATCATCTTTTCCACATTACACAAAAAGTTATTAACAAGAGTGATTCAGATATTTCCTGCAAAATCTGCTGTGAGCAAATTCATTACAGACCCACGTAGATTGAACGGCTTACCCACGTCTTACAGCTAAATATATTAGAAGGAAGAAGAAATAGAACCAGAATTTTGCTCCAGTGCTATCTGACTACACTGAAGGAGGGAGAATCTCTAGTTGGAGTCTCCACCAACATGTAAGTATAACATCTATTTTGGGGGAAATGTCTAATTAGAAGCATTGTTCATGACTGTAACTAATTTCTAATAGCTTGTGTACAAGGTTAGCTGGGAAGAAAAAACGTAAACAAATTATCAACAGATGGGAACATGACTTGTTTTTCCTTAAATTGTTGCACCCTAATGTGCTCATTGAGCACTTAACTCTTATGTTGTTTGTTAGCAGATGTTCATGTGTATGTGCATATGAATGTGACTATGTTATTTATGACTGCATTCTAAACTGATTGAGGTATGATACCATGTCTTCTTCCTGGGTAGCCCTATTTTTGATGCCATGATTAGTGCTCATTAGAGGCTGGATTTTCCTATCTGGAAACTAAATTGTGTAGCCAATCCTACCATCTCTGGTGATGAAGTTTTCCATTTTCAGTTTGGATATTCTGATTTTATAAAAAATTAACTTGGCCCTCCCATAAAATAATAAATAAGCACTTTTTGTGTGTAAGAAGACTCACAATTCACATGACAACTATAAAAAACATAGATAAATCTTTCACTCAGTAGATCAGATTTCAGATTGCTTGTTTTTGAAATTTTATTTACATCTATTTTAAATAGTTACTGAGGTGTAAATGTTCTCTAAAACTATTCACATATTTAATGCATATAATTTATGGATTTGAACATATGCATATGTTTCACATGTGAAACCATTACCACAATCAATGTAATAAACATATCCAGGTGGCTTCTTCTTTTTTTTTTTTTTTCTGGTACCAGAGATTGAACCCAGGGGTGCTTAACCCACTGAGCCACATCCCCAGCCCTTTTTAATTTTTTATTTTTAAAAAGGGTCTTGTTAAGTTGCTTAGGGTCCCACTAAGTTGCTGAGGCTGGCTGTGAACTTGCAATCCTACTGCCTCAGGCTCCTGAGCGGCTGGGATTATAGGAATGCAACACCACCCCAGGCTATCCAGGTGGTTTTGATACAAGTTAAAGTACATAGTTTTACTTCTGGGCTGGGAGTTGCCGCTGGGTTCCACATCCTTGCGAGGTGATATGTGACTTGACATTTGCACATAATCACTTATGCAAAGGTCTTTGAAGTGGTATTTCTAGCCCAGATAAGGATATATGACTGTCTATAGAATTCTGAACAGCAATTGTCTTGACTCAATTTCCTGCTCTGACCCAGTTCCTTCTGAGTATTATTCACCAAGGAATACCTTCTCTCATGTTCAGTCAGAAAATGTCACAATTTAGCCAAGATTATCACTACTGATTCTTTGTGCTGAAAAGAAGTTTCCAGGCTTCCCTCCCCTCCCCTCCCCTCCCCTCTCCTCCCTTCCCCTCCCCTCCCCTCCCCTCTCCTCCCTTCCCCTCCCCTC